GGTCAGAGGTGCGGCAGGGTGAGAGGATTCACCAGAGACAGAGTGGGGAACAGAACAGGCAGACAGACTGAAAGCACAAGATGAGGAGAGCAGTAGGTGAGACAGGAGTGGTCTGCTACGCCATGTGGAAATCTCCCTGGCCCACCGGGAACCGAACCTGTGCTGCAGAGGCTATGGACAGCTTCACAGCGCTGAGCTCAACCCGCTGCGCCACCAGGGAGGCCCTCCATTGTGATTTTCTAAGTCAACATATCCACCAATCATCCTGACTTTTTTGTGCTCTACCTACTTTAAAAACACTCATTAAAATGGTCATCTAAATACAGTTTCTTAAGGTCTGATATACCAAATATGTGTAAGTGACATGACAAGCATATGGGCTCTTGGCAAACAATCACCAGTTGTTACAGGACAAACATAGCTCATGTAGTTTCTTTAATTCATGGTGACTGAAAACATTCAACTTTATGATGCGTTGTATTTATTTGTGAGGTACAGTAGTATAGCTAATGACAGACTTCAGTCTGAAACCTGAAGATCAGTGTCCTGATTTGTAAAGTAAGATACTAGGATAAATAAAGGACTCAACAAATGTTACCAATGATCATCATCATTGTATTGGTGAACTCAGCTTACTTACCACAGCAGGCTCTAGTTGCTATGGGACTCCACATACCTATGCTACTGTTTGTATGCATTTTTCCCCCCATGAAACTTTGTGTTCAAATAATCTTGGGCGATCTATTTTACTGAGATTAACAACACAATGAAGGTGAATGCATTCAAAGCATATGAAGCTCCATTTCCCCAACTCCACTCACTAAAGAAACAGATGTTTACTCTGCTATCAAAAGCAGTCATGTGACAAGAGGAAGACACACTGTAGGCACATCTTTTGCTGTTTAGCACCTAAGTGATAGGTGGCTGATAAACTGCCTATCTGTTACCTCATTCAAACACATAATTGGGTCCTCCCTGGTGTTAAGAGGCAGCCTATGAAGCTGCCTGCAGCCTCCACAGCAGAGTTTGATCTCTGGCCAGGGAGCAACCCACATGGCGCAGCAGACCTCTTCTGGCTCGCCCGCTGCTCCCCTAAGCAGTGTACTTTGGTAAATCTGCCTGTTCTGTTCCCCACTCTGTCTCTGTTGAATCCTCTCACCCCCTATACCTCGGGCCTGTACCCCAGGCTCTTGTATGCATAAATAAATAAATCTTAAAAAAAATCCTGCTGCTAAAAAAACCCCAAGAAACACATAATTTTAATTCCTATCAAATTTTGCCTAATGCAAAAGAAGTGCTGTCTTCACCGGTCCTATGTACAAATGCTTTTTATATTTACTGATAGCATATGTATTGTTAGTTTTGCTGTGTGGTATATAGTTAGATGGATTCATAAAACTTCTGTCAACCATGTTTCTTTACAGACATGATTTTCAATGCTCATCTCCAAAGATTAACCAATGCTTTCTCTTTTCAGAAAGATCAGAATCTAACAGCAAAGTTTAAAAGTCCTCCTATATCATTTGAAATAAATAACACACTGCACACTGCTAATCCTTCTGCAGTTAGGATATATGAGAATGTATTAAGATATTAAAAGCTATGGCAGGGCCTCCCCTGGAGGCGCAGCAGTTGAGCGCTGGGCTGCAAAGCTGCCCGCAGCCTCTGCAGTGCCAGTTCGATCCCCAGCAGCTGCCGCACCCACTGCTCCCCTCAGCAGTGTATTTCGTCAGTCTGCCTGCTCTGTTCCCCATTCTGGCTCTGGTGAATTCTCTCACCCTCCTGTGCTCCTGACTGTACCCAGTGCTTGTATAAATAAATAAATCTTAAAAAAAAAAAAAAGAAAGAAAACTTGGCCAACGCAATGAAAGGGGGAGGATAATAAACACATAAAAAAAAAAACTTTAAAAAAAATATAAAATAAAAGCTATGGCAAAAGTAAAGAATTTTAAAAACAAATGTGTAAGGTTTTTTTAAGTATTCTTTAAAAACATTTTGACTTTTGAAACATATATATATTATACATATTAACAAATAAAATTTAAATTAAAAAAGGAAATTCTAAAATAAAAAAAAAGCAACCCAGGGACCATATGAAACTGGTAGCATAGCCAAATAAAGTATTTCAAGAGACTTCTTAATATACTTTAAGTACTGATTATACATCCTTCATGTAATATAGTCTCAGGACAAAAACAACTGCTAAATCTTAGACTTCACTTGAAGTTTATAGTAGTAGTGTTGGTATGGTAAATTTAAAATGACTTTATGTACTAGGATAAAACAAGTATGTTAACCTTAACAGGCACGACAATTTTCATTTAAGACAAAAGAGACAAATACAGAAGCAAAGAAAAAGTCTGCTATGCTAAATTCCAATTGGATGTATTACTATGAACTTATGATTAAACAAATAAACAACAACAAATTCTTCTCGCTTCTGAGAGAAATCAGAAGCAGTGACACTCCAGAAGAAATGACTATGCCAAACATTCAGATCTTGGTTTCTATTACTATTTTTCAGTAAAAGAACAAAGACTCCTTGGATAAACAGTGAATAAAGAAATCTACAGTGAAGAAAAAGTAACAAGGCAAGTCTGGGTTATCTTATGCCAGAAAGTACTCCAAGACTAAAAGGCAAGCAGAGTGTCAAAAAGACATGGGAGGCAGCCTGAAAGAGTTCCTGGTGTCTAAATTTGGGACAATTTGATCACTCAAAAAAAATGAAGTTAATTATTATTAAAAAATGAGTAAAATGAAACCTGTGAGTTCATGGTGGTATCCACCCTCACAAGAAAAAAAAATCTCATTTGCTACCAGAGGTGCTGTATTTCCTAAATTGTTTAAATATCAATGACAGGGATGAAATTAAGCATTTACTCTGCATAAAAGGAGGAACTTTAGTTACCCCCAGTTAAAGGAAATCTTTCTCACAGAAAATCTCCAATAAAATAACAAACAGTCATCAATCAGTGCTAAAACCACTAAGTGAAAAGGTAGCCAGAAAAAGAATACATCTTGGTAGCAGATAAGGTAGTCATCACTTTAATCAAGTGGTCATAATGGTGTGACAATCTGGTATTATGTACCGCCTATATGATGCAATGACTACACAGCATCACCTATTAAACATTCTTGCCCAAGAAAGTTTTACATTAAGCTAATCAAGCTTTTCTTCAGCTATAACGTCCAGTAACAGGTAATTCAAGGGGACAGAGGAATAAACTAAATGACACTGTAAAGACACAGACAAGTCCAGAAAGTGGCAGCATTCCACAAGACAAATGGTTTAGTTAATTGTCAGGGGAAAAAAAATTAGGTATTTTTGAAAGGCATAAAAGATAAATCAAATGCAATGCATTAATCTTCACTGAAAATAGCTGAGGGGAATGTTTTCTCTGAGACTTTTGAATACTGAGATTTGTATACAGATTAATTTTGAAAGGTGTTGATGATGCTGTGGTAAGAGAATGTCCTTATTTTTAGGAAATTCATGCTGAAATATTTCAATGTCAATCTTGGCAACATACTTTCAAATGGTTACACAAAAAAGGCCACAAGGAGAGAAAAGGGGGGTGACAATATGGCAAAGAAATGAGTCACTGAATAGGGTAGTGGAATCCTGTTTTTCTCAACTTCCTCAAGACATAAATTTTTCATAATAAAGTTTTAATGAAAGGGTACCTGTTCTGAGAGGTACAGTGGAAAGTATATCCAGGTACAAACCTCACCTCTACTACTTACTAGTTGTGTGGCCTAAGGCAAGTTACTTAATATTACTAAGTTTCTGTCCCATCTATAAAACTCAAGTAATAACATCTAAATCATTAGGTTATGAGAATTAAATACCATGTAAAATGCCCTGCAGTGTTTCCGTTTCTTTGTATACAAAATAAGTCCTTCTGGTCTTCATAATTAAGGAATGTAACCATTCTAAAACACAATCGTTTTCACATGCCGTAAGGAAACTACACGAGGCAAAATTAAAAACTAAGGTAAAGTTAAATATTACTAATGCGCTGGCGGGCAACCTGAAGAAATGGAGAAAGTGAACATTTTAATACGATTAAAAAACAAACAAACAAACAAAAACCAACCACCCAGTAATTCAACTGAAACTTCAGTCAAAAAAACATCATAAAAACCTTCACCTGTCCAAATTGGCATCTATCAAATTTTAAACCTTGGATTTTGGTCTTACTCTATAGCCACATAAAACACAAGAAAAAGGCGGTCAAAGGGAATTTTCCCCTAACCTCAACAGATAACCTAGTTGCATGCTGAAAAAATTTAAATGTCTGCCTTCACGCCTGTAAGTTCCAGCCAAGTACACAACCATCGCGCTTTCTTCCACAATTCTCCCGAAGATTCACAGAACTCAGCAGGCTGCAATTTCCTTCCTTCCTTCCCGTCCCAACGCACTTATCCCTTCCCCTGCAGGTAACCCCTGGCTCGGGGTGAGGCCAGCAGAACCTGACTTAAACGGAGCGATCCTCAGGTAGGCAAAATAAAGAGGTGCTCGGATTTTTTTTTTTTTTAAGAAGTGCCATCCTTTTCTTCCCAGTACCAGCAGAGAAAAAGCAGCAGGAGCGAGGGGTGCAGGGTAGGGGGTGCAGGGTGGAGAGTGGGGGGGGAACAGTATGGTCTCAGGCTCCCCGACACCACCAGGTGAGAGGTAACACCTCCGCCTCCTCCGGGCTCGGGTGCAGGGCAAGCGGGCGTGCAAATGACGGGGAGCACCCGGGGAGACCGGGGTGGGGGGGATTTCTCTCGAGCCGCCGGGGCCCAAGGCTCGTCTCCTCCCTGAGGGATTAAATGCCCCGGCGAGGACCCCGTGGGGTGTTCCCCGGCGGCGGATCGGGGTGCCGAGCCCAGGCTTCCCTCGCGTCCAGCGCCCAGCTGGGGGACGCGCGGCGGCAGCCCCTCGGCGGGCGCACCCCGAAGGCACGAGCGGCGCGGAGCGGCCGGCCGCGGCCCCCGCCCGCCCTCCCCCCCTTTACCTGCGGGCGGCGGCGGGGGGCCCGGAGGCCTGCTGCTCCTCCTCCTCCGCCCCGCCAGGCTGAGGCGGCGAGGTGGCGGCGGCGGCGCGACAGCCCGGGGGGAGGGGGCGGAGCGCGCGGCCCGCCGCCTCTCTCCTCCCCCGGGAGGCTGAGGGGACCCTATCTCGGGCCGCCGCGCCCAGGCCCGTGGGCAGCCTGCGGCTGGGGCATGGCGGCGGCCCAGCGGCGTGCCTGCGAGGTGGGAGAGCGCGGGGCGGCAGGAGGGAAGCGCCCGCCGCGCTCGGAGGGGCCGGAGGGGAGGAGCGACGGGGCCCGGGGAGCCGCGCGCGAGCGGCCGTTGGGGGCGGTTGGCCGAGGGCAGGCGGCGGTTTGGGGAGCGCGGCGACGGCTCGCGTTTTCCCGGCGGGGCGGGGTGGGGAAGGGGAAGGGGAGTGAGGGGAGGGGAGGGGGAGGTTGGGAGGGAGCCGCCGCCGCGCGCGTGCGGGCCGGCGCCGCCGCCGTTGCCGCTCCTCTCACTCCAGCCTGTTTGGGGGCACTTTGTTTGTGTCCCACAATGCTCTGCGCGGGCGGCCGGGCTGGGGAAGGGGAGGGGAAGTGGGCGTGGCGAGGCGAGCCCAGGGGGCCGGGCTTGGGCGCGGGGCGGGGGCGGGAACTCGCAAGGTGCGCAAGCGCAGAAGAGCAGGCTCCGGGTCCTCCCATCTTAAACTGTGGGCCACTTGCACGCCCGTGGCTTTTGATGCTGGCTTTGCAGCTTTGCATGTATGAACCCTTGTAGATTTACGTTAATGGCTGCATAAATACAGTCCAGTGTGTCCTTCCTCTAGTGGTCCTCTCGGCTAGGTCCTTGCCTACGCTGACAAAAGCATGGGGGGGGCTAGGTTCATGCTTCTTGAATGTTTTTCTTTGAACCAAAAATGAAAGAACCTGTAAGGTTTTCTCCAGTGGTTTCTATGGCGGGCTGAAACCGGAACACCCGAACCCCTTTTCATGGTGTGGGAGGTTAGCTGCTAGTGAGCCCATTTTTCACAATCGGAAACTGAGGTCTGTGAAGGCATAACCCACTAGACAAGTGGGGGGGCGGTGCAGAAAACCTGGCGTCCACTGCCTTTGCAGATAGCCAATCTCGTTTGGGTATCCCCTGTTCCTACTGCCTTTGCATTCTCTGGCATTCTCTTAGTGCCCTAAAATGGTTCCAGCATTTCCCTGGGCAACCTAGCCGGACATGCAGTTCTGTAATGACTAGAGAAATCAATACCCAATTCCGTCTAGTGGCCCCAACACCGGGACACCTAGCGCTGCCCCAGAAGTAACGTCCTTAAATCTCATTTTATTACACTGTCACTTCCCTGGCCTCCTGGCCAGGTTGTGGGCCACCCAGAGGTGAGCAGTACTACTCTAGGGGTTTTAGAGTTCTTGATCAACTGTAAAATTGTGTAAAATGTTAAAAGGTCCCATGACTCTAAGTCTTGGTTTCCAAGGCTTGGAAGGGTACTCTCAGGACCCAGACCTGGCCCACAAGGTGAGGGGCCTGGGAGGTGGGAGGAGGAACTCATCACTGCAGTGGGAAGTGCATTAGTGGGGAAGCTGGAAGCTAGTCCTTTTGTTACAGGGCAAGGAGAGGGGCACCCCAGACCCCGCAAGCCTGCCTGCTCTAAATAGGTTCTGCCATCTGCCACATCAACACAAAACAAGTGAGACTTTAATGAAAAGGAACTTTAATACAATTAGGAAACAATACTGGAAAGGCAAAGAATATACTTTCTAAATCAAGCACCCAAAGTTACCCGTCCCCTCGTGGGTAAAAGTCCACCCAAACGGGATTGGCCCAGAGCAAGTCCCCAAAGCCTGCCACAAGTCTAAAGCACCTTCCAGTGGGACCCACAGAAAAGGATCAGAAACAATCAGACAAGTCTGGAAGGAAAAGACCAAAAATCAAAATCAAGAAAAGCTGCCATTGTCACCTCCCCCCGGGTCTCTCACATCTGTGTCACCCAGTCCACGACCAAAAGGCAAGTGCAGTCTCTTCGCATGTCTCTGGGCTCCATGTGCCTCCTCCAGGTCTCCTTCTGGCTCTCCATCCTGCTTCCTTCCTTCCTCAGTCTCTTCTGTAGCTTCTTCTCTTTAGCTCCACCTTCCTTTGAGTGGGGCAGGGAACCTGGAAATTCCCCTTTCCTTGGGACCACCCTGTTACATTTGAGTAGCTGGATTGGGGTCCTAGGTCTGCAGACCTAGTGCCTTAGGTACTGTGTATTTGCAATCTTTGTTTTCCCAGCCTCCTGCTTTTAAACTAAAGACTTAGCTCCAAAAGACTTGGTACAAGGAGGGTCTATTTCAGATTGAATTTTCTTTGTAGACACCTGGCAACCTCTTAATATTAATCACCTCCCTGCGAATCAAGCAGCCAAACACTCTAGCACCCTAATCCTGACAATTGAAATCTACTTTAAAAATAAGGGCAGTGAGGGTCTTCCTGGTGGTGCAGCGGGTTGAACGCCGTGCTGTGAAGCTGTCCGCAGCCTCCTTAGCGCTGGTTTGATTCTCAGCCAGCCAGGGAGAATCCCACATGGCGGGGCAGACCTCTCCTATCTCGACCGCTGCTTGGGTCGATCTGCCTGTTCTGCTCCCTGCTCTGTCTCTGGTGAATCCTCTCACCCTCCCACAACTCTGGCCTGTACCCTAGCTCTTATATAAATAAAAATAAATCTCTTTAAAAAAAAAAAAAAGGTCATGTCTTCAAAAAAAAAAAAATAAGGGCAGTGAAAGCAACCTCTATTGTATAGTCTTTTGCAGTTTCCAAATGTATGTTTAATCTTCATGACAACTGTTATACATAGGTTTTATTTCTGATGATGTCATTTTGATAAGATATTGCATTTAGAGAGTGGGGTCCTTGGGTTACCTTGAGAAAAAGATTCGGCAGAGTTACCCTTTCAGTAGCAAGTTTACCCAGAAGACAAAGATGTTTGCACAGACACGGGCAGGTGAAGGCGCCATTTTAAAAGGACAGGTTTATTAGGAAAAGGAGAAAGGAAAAGAGAAGCCCCTACATAGTCACAGGCGGGCAGAGAGCTGCATTTACCAGCGTAGAAATTTACCAATATAGTATTCTTCTGGAGAAGGAGTCATTCCTTGGTGGAATTGTTATCTATTATTAATCACTTCTAGTATGTGACTAGGTTGATTTTTAAGGATTGATGATTCTCTATAATGGCCCTGTCTCCATATACCCACCTCTGGTCTGTGCCTCCTATACTTTCTATAATAGTCTTTAAAAAATTTTTATTTTATTTTATTTTATTTATTTATGCATACAAGAGCTGGGATGTAGGCTAGAGGTGCAGGGGCAGGGGATGTTGAGAGGATTCACCAGAGCCAGAATGGGGTAGCAGAACAGACTGATCTACTGAAACTGAAATACACTGCTGAGGGGAGCAGTGGGTGAGACAGGAGAGGTAAGCTGTGCCATATGTGGGTTAGCCCCCTGGCCGGGGATAGAATTCATGTTGCAGTGGCTGTCCATAGCTTCATAGTGCTGAGACTTAATCCCTTGCCCACCAGGGAGGCCACAATCTGCTTTTTTTATAGTAGTCTATACCTAACGATTTTCATGTCTATGGCCTGTTTAAAAACTGTCTCAGGGACTCCCTGGTGGTGCAAGGGTTAAGCACTTGGTGGTGCAAGGGTTAAGCATTGTACGAAGCAATTTGCAGCCTCTGCAGCATGAGTTCGAACCCCGGCCAGCCAGGGAGCAACCCACATGGCACAGCAGACCTCTCCTGACTCGCCAGCTGCTCCCCTCAGCAGAGTACTTCGGTCGATCTGCCTGTTCTGTTCCCCGCTCTGTCTCTGGTGAGTCCTCTCACCCCCCGTATCTCTGGCCTGTACCCCAGCTCTTGTATGCATAAATAAATAAATCTTAAAAAAAAAAACAAAAAACTGTCTTAATCATTTCCGCCCCCACCTCCAGTTTCTAGTTTTGTGACACCTTCATTTCAAATTTTCTACTCTTAATCTACATCACCACCATCATTCTTATTGTTCCAATTTAGAGGCAAAGAAAGCCAGAGAGATGCAGATTAAGACCCATAAAGTTATGCACTGAGATTTGAAGAAGGGAAAGTATAAGAAGGCTAATACCCTAAAAAAAGAATGGTATCAGTAGAACTAGGCTCAGGAAGGGGCTGGAGCTTAAGGCCCTGATGGGGTGTGTGTTTGACTGCATAAGGTAAAACCTGGAGAATAATTAAGATGGGAATAAATCAGTCAAAGCACATCTTTGGCCATTTAATTGGACAGTCAATAAGAGACCTGTAGGCAAAACTTTAAGTGTTTGCCAAGGGACAAAGTTGTTAGTTCTTGTTCATGGTGGTAAAAAAAAAAAAAAAAATCAGCTTTCCTTAAATTATTCTATTTTCTTCTCTTTTGCCCTCCTTTTGGGTCATTCTATTTTCCACTTTAAAATGGTATCAATTTCTCACCCCATTCTCCCCTCTGGGCTGAAGAATCAATTAACCTAGGAAGGGCTGTTGGGCACTGGAGGACACAGTGCTACATACTGGGAGGGTGCATAAGAATACAAGGATTAGCTCTGTAGAAGTGCTCTTCTCTGTTTTAGCTTTGGGCAAGGTCAATTTCTGTGACTTCTGTACCTCTCACCTCCTTCCTGGGCTCGCTGAGACTTGCCTTTTGGTTGTTGGAATACTTACACCTTTCTTTGAAACTAGGTTATAGTACTTCTGGGAGAATTTTATGAAACCAGAATCCAGCACACAGGTGAAACAAACAAATGTAGACAGTATAAGGAAACTTTAATTATTAACTCAGTGTAGATGATTCTGAGGAATTCAAATTCCAGGCAAATAGGATTTATTTAGCTATGAGCTGTTTGGAGGGCCAAGATCTTGGCAAAAAAAAAAGGGGGGGGGATTTTCTTGTAGGAGAGAATTAGACCTGAATGGGTACTTGGTTATTTAGTCCACAGTTTATTTCAGAGCAAAATTGCTTGGCACTCAATAGAAAGCCCAACTTGAATAATTGTAATGGAGGAAAACTCATTACTGCATAAGTCATCCTTACTCCCTTATTAGATGGTTCCAATTATATTGAACAAAATTAATCTTGCTGCCCACACTGAACCTTGCACCTCTTTTAGTATTCCCGTTTCATCATCCACCCCATTGATGAAGTCATCTTTGCTACTTCACTATTCTATTCCA